ATAATAGTTGTATGAGGCCCTAATAAAATGATTAAAATAAAACATGTTCAACAAATTTGGGAGTTCCCCTTTGTTATCAGAATTAGAGATGGTATTGCCAAATACTTTGGACTCACTTTGAGGAGGTATTAGTATTTTTATAGATTACATGTAAATTAAGTATTAATCTCCATCTTTCCCACCCATGAGGTCCATAATTACTATTTCCTGTCACTCTGCTTATTTGGGAGTCTTTGGGTGGTATAAACAGTTAAGCACTCATCTACCAGCAAAAGGTCGGCAGCTTTAGCCCACCCAGAGGCACTCAGAAGACACACAGCGCAACCAAAGCCGTGTGGAGCAGTTCTAGCTGCTGAGAACTAGGTGCCATTGCTCCGTATACTCAATGACTGGGTAGGCATATGCAAGTTCGGTGCAGAGGGCTCTACTTGGGGATTGGTCCATGTTGACGTTCCAAGTTAGCAATCTCAGAAGCACGAAGGAAAAAAACCCATAATCCAGAGCCATCAGTGATGTACCAGATCCTTGTCTGTAGTGTAGGTGCCACAGGCCACAAAGCTGACACCAGACTAGAGCAAAGCAGCAATGGGCCTGTAAGGACAAGCAGAAATACTCCTGGTAGCAAAAGACCATCTGGCTGAATAGGCTGAACGATGAAGGGTAGAGGCCAGTATGACCTGACTACGGTAGGGTGGCGTGGGAGTCTCCTGTATGGAAGCTGGAAAAGATCAGACATGGCCCCCATGTCACTTCTCCAGTTGTACACATGGAGGCACCACTGAGTCAAAATAGGCTCAAAAGGAATTAGTGGTAACAGATAGTACAAAGTGGGACTGTCCTTTTGTGTCTGGCATATTTTAATTAACATGCTTTTAGAAGTCATTATCAGCACCTCATTTTATGGCTGACTATTCCACTGTGTGTGTATACACCCTGTTGATGGGACATGGGTCATTTCTGCAGTAGATACAAGTTTAGTTCTTGCTTTCAGCTGTGTTAAATGGAATAGCAATGTTAGCAGTTTTTAAAATGTAAACAATGTCACTGAAGAATGTGAACTATGGATTGTTCCAAGAGCTGTAAGAGCCCTCAATAACGTTTTTTAAAAATTGTGCTGTTAAATGAGAACCTATTGCTGTGCAAACTTTCCTAGAAAACCGGTTACTTATATATAGATATATATATACATACACATACATACAAGTGGCAGCCACCTGCCGACCAGGCCCTCTGGTGGTCACATTATCTTTCCCTTCGTTAACTTTCCACATAAGCCATTAGATTGCAGGAGCACAACAGAAGGCTTTAAACACCAAGTTTTGGAAGCCTAGTTGATTTACCACCTGCATTCAGTTGCTCGGTGTGTAACTTTAAAAATGTAAGCAATGAAAAAGAATTGGATGTTGTGTGTATCACAAAAGATACTTCCCAAAGGTCAGAAAGCCAGTCTTTTAATTTCAAAAAAGCTGTGCCACACATTTCTACCGAGTGCCGATGGTCACCTGCCATACTCGCACGAGGTTATCTGTGTAACCTGCAAACAGAGTCTGCAAAAAAAGGGAAACAATTAAGATTAGATCAGGTAC